CTAAGGGTGGGGGGCTGGGGGCGAGGGGGCAGAACGATCCTATAAACCACATTATTCATACTGAATTGTGGTTAAAAATACCTTTTCTGTTTATAGTCCGCTTTCCCATAGAAAATATTCTTCCATAGGATTAACATTACCCATAGAATAACATTAGCCGATGTTAAGTTTATGGAAAAAGCTCTATAGGATTAGCATTACCCATGTTAAGTCTATGTCATAGGATTAACATGCAATCAAATGTTAAATCTCATAGGTGGGGAAGGGGGTCGAGGAGGGGTAGCCCAACGATCCTATAAACCACATTATACATATCTGAATTGTGGTTAAAAAATAGGAAAGAAAAATTATATTTCTCTAAAGTTACACAAAAGTTACAAATAAATTCCTATGTAGGCTAAGTTCAGAATATAATAGATAAATGAACAAAGGGATTATAACATTTTATCAATTTGATTGATATGAATTAAGAATGAAATACAGGATTTGATCCCAGATGATACTTTCTCACAATTGGTCATATTTAGTGTAATTACTGTATGTTTTACTAATATAGTTTAATTTCTAAGTATTTATTTGATTACAGCTATCTATACAATATTCATTACATTGTAGTTATGATGTGTTAGCTATAAATGTTAATGTAATTATTTGAAATAGTTATTTAAGTTAATAAATAGGTTTATTGTTATTTATATTCTAGTTTTACAATAAATCTATGTTAATTAATTGTTTCGGCTAAACCTCATCGGATATAAATGAAAGGTAATTTGCTTTTTGTAAACTTGTTAATTTATTATTTAAAATAATTATAAATTGTTACAATTAAAGTTGTGTATGAGTTGATTAAAACAATTATGTTCTTAACAAATATTTGATAATTATTTTCAATTGACTAAGTACACTTATTATTACATAAAAAGTCCCGCCACTTGTAATATGTAAGCCAATTGACATTCATATTACAATTTATTTTTGTACTACTAATGAGTATTGGCTGATTAAGAATTTTTAAAATCCTGATTGATTAAAAGTCAAATTTACCAAGATGAGTAAAAAATTACCATCGATTCCAAAACTAAAGAAGACTGTTTAATTTCATACAAATAAAAACACCGTCTATGAAAATGAATTAAAAAATAGAAAATAAATTTTAATTTGAAAACTATTAGAACATAATTTTCCTAAAATATAACATTCAAGATTGTTCAAAAATAAAGGGTAAAACTGTAATAATCGGGGAAATAACAATCCTATTTTGGCTATTGGCGTTTAAAGGTTATATAAAAATAATGATCTACCTCTATCAAAAGACACCAAAATATGTAATATACTTGTTGATAATATAACATTGGTAGTGCTCCCGTAGCGTCTATTTTACTTTTAAAAATATTACTCAATTTTTCCCATTTCTGGCCATGTTCTTCGTCGTGATAGTGTCTGTTAGAACTTATCAAATGCGCTCATTTAATATGCTATGTAATCTAGTTTATTCAAAAACTTGAACAGAAATGGGCAAAATTGAGTAAAATTCTTTGAAATTTAAATTACTGCAACAGTGGTGTAACTAATGTTAAAGGAGTATATTATATATTTTTGGAAACCTCATATAGAAAGCTATCATTATTTTCATATAACTTTTCAATGTCAAAAGGCGAAGTTATATGTGATTTAACCGGTTGTTTTAAATTAATTTATTTGCAAGTACACTTAGAATTTGGGCATGACTTTATCGTTGTTTGCTACATCCCTCAATTTTATAAAAAGAGAGTTAGGTCGATTGGTGTTAAATATACAAGGATGATGTTTCAACATTTATTATAACAATTAAATAATGATAATTTATAAAACTTTGATATGTATAAAATACTACTGTATAAGCTGTGTAATAACTGATAAGTTAACTTTATTAAATTTTTGCTTAATTTATATTATAAAACATTTATCAAACCTGAATTTTTGATATGAAATATTTTTTAAAATCTAGAAATTTAAATTATATATTAAAAAAATAATTATATTAAATTTGAATCAATTAAAATTTTATTAATAATCCAAAACATATTTGTTAATTATATCTTAATTATAACTTTTATACCAAATCATATATTAGTCACATTAATTGTGCTCGCACACCTGGCATTGGCCTATGGGGCCGATCCATTTGCATGTCCCCGTCCCGACTACTGGGGCGATTGTATTTGCGATCCGACTGAGCAGAGTCTAATCTGCTCAAACAGCCCTGATGAAATAAAATTCTGGCCAGATAAAGACGCTTCTTGGAGTCCATTCAAACTTATTGTACTAGATGGATTCAAAATAGAGGCAGAGATAAAATTAAGCGATAACACCAAACTTAAAAGCACCGGGCTTAAACTAACGAATTCTCTGGTGAAAGACTTCGGGTCTATCGCAACAATTCTAAAAGACGTAACGAGCGTTGTTTTGGACAATGTATTGACAGAGGATAGTAAACAAATCAAACTCTCCGATTTGACCGACAAGCTTACAGTGGTTAAATTGACAACGTTCGAGGTTACTAATTCACAGCTGGATGACACACAGATGCCAGATGTTAGCACGTGGGCTGAATTACAGATACTGTCTCTCAACGGAAATAAATTCACTAAACTAAACGATAAAATTAAAGGCCTCAAGAAACTGACCACGGTCAATTTGCAAAACAATGCTTTAGCAAATGCAGATGCCGGGGCACTCAGCTTTGCAACGGATAATAAATTAACCCTTAGACTCGATCAAAATAAAATTAATACAAAATTTTTAATTGATGCTAAACTTGAAAATGCCAAAGAACTAGACGTTAATCTAGCTTATAATGTGATTGAAAAATTTACCAAGGAACCTTTTGAATCGCTGGATAATAATTTATACAAGATAAATTTGCCAAACAATAACATAACGTGCACATACGATGATTGCGATTGGGCTTTTCATCTCAAGGATCCCGCGCCCGTCCCATACGAACACCTCTTGAACGTCGAGTGCGTCAATAATCACAAACAGCTGTTCAATTTGCGAGAGCAGGATCTGCCCGGCTTTCCCACTCCCGCACCGCCCACACCGTCCACACCATCCCCTCCGCCCACAACTCCTCATTCAACGCCAGAACCGCCGACACCTAAACCATCGGACGGTATGTTTTGTTATGTTTTTAACAAGATGGTTATATTTAATATAACAGCGTTTTAAATTAAACTTTTTACTAATGTTTTAATGATATGCTCCAAATATAGTTGAAGTAAAAGTGGGTAACCAGTGGTTAGAGATTAAGCGAGAATTATGGCCGTATGTGGACAGTGAGGACAGCATTCATAACACACCCACCGATTTCTTCATCATTCACCCTGGCGATATAAATTTTAAATCTATTACGAAAGACGTGCTTCCCGGTAGTGAAAATGTTAAATTCCCTGTCAAGTTGAGTTTCAAGGTAATATTAATAATAATCTGAATAACTAATTAGAATATAAAATACATAATCAGGACGACGCAAACGTAGGCTTTGCCTACATGCACCCATAGACATTACATTAGCCCATTACAATAGTGTGGCCCTACACTGGCCCCTCTGCGTCTCGATGTACATAATCTAATATATTGTTAAATTAAAATTAAATAAATAATTATAAAAATTGTAACATTGTTATTACAATTATGTTTACAATATATTATGGCAAAACTATTGTATAAAAACTTAGAAAAGTTTACACATTTTAATAATTAATTTTATGCAGTATTGGGCACACGAAGCGATTGCCACCACATATATTGAGAAAAATAAAAAGGACACAATTATTGACAAAATATCTAAGGAATACATAAATTTTGATTCTTATTGGTTATATCGGGAATATATTCTAACTGAACTACAGTTGAAATCGTACGACTTCTGGACCGCATTAGACCAATACTCAGTGATTGCGTTGAAAGACATTAAAAGTAATTTATTATATATTTAATTACATTTAATTTATTATAATATTATAAATATTTAAACAAATTCAAACAAATAATATTGTAATTACAATTCTGAATTTTATTATCGGATATTAGTTGAATATACGACTGTGGCCGACACACCTGTTACATTAGGCAATCATAATTATATTAATAATACGAGAATGGTTTATCATTTTACTAAAAATGATATACAAAACAATGCCAACACAATTGTAGAGAAAGATATAATTAACAAATGCAAAATTAAAACCAACACCGATTATAATAAAAATTGTTTCCACGAAAATATCAACCAAAATGGCAAAAATGCAATTTACCAAATTAAAGTCGATTCACCCAAAGATAATGACGTGTGCTTTGAGCTCAAATATTTGTTAATTAAATCGAAAATAACTCCTGCCACTATTGATATTCATTACAATGTGGATCCAACTGAGTTTGCTGCAGAAAAAAATAAAATATTTACATTTACGCCCATGGTCAAACTGACCACCACTGACAAAGATATCGAAACATATGCTTTTTGTTTGCGGGATGTGTTGGCTCTGAGCGCCGAAAATTTGCTCATCACATTCGTTGCAAACACTGGCGGTGCTGACGGTGACGATACTCTAGCTCTGAGTATTGATTATAAGCCAAAAGCTAAAGACCCATGGAAGTTCACATCGAATAAATTCATTCAAACATTTAATGATAAAGAAAGTTCTTTTAGATCATACACCGATTTATTTACTTACAAAGACAATGTTTATACATTTACCGGTAAGCTATTATTTAATTAATAATATTGTGAAATAATTGATATTTAATGTAACTTTAAACGGGCATGATTTTAACTTATATAAATTTTCAATGTGCATTAAATTATTTTAAAATAGCATTAATTTATGAATATTTTAATTATCTAATTATAGGAAAACCTGTGACTGAAATCCCAACCACAGCTCATCTCATGGGGCCTTGGATTCAATATAATAGCAATTTAGGCAATGGTTTGAATGAATATAGCGTTACTGTAAAGCAGGAGAAAGTGTTTAACGCTTTCACAATTAGACCCAAAATATGTACGGATTTATCGCAATGTTTTGATGTCAATGCTATCGGAGTGAAGGCAGACTCGAGTGGTCTGACCCGAGTCTATACATTTAATTTTGATGCAATCGAAGACAAAACCACTCATAAAATAGACACAGATTTAGTAAAACTAGTCTTTTTTGTCGACTATTTTATGCCCGAAAACTTTAAACCCGACGAAAACATTAGCATTACATTTGACTTAAAATTATTAAATTTTGGGGATCCTGTATATGAACGCACAGTTAGTGAGATTCTTAAATGTGATAAAACGGGAACCAATTTTGGCTATAAATCCAATCCGACCATGGACAATCCCAATCATTGTATTTGTAATGATGGTTATTATGGCGCTAAGTGTGATCAATTAGCAAAACCGATTGAAGTGAAAGTTGAACCCCCAAAAAAAGGAGATTGGGGTGAACAGGCTTCACCCAAAGTGGGCTTTTATCCAACCAAGAAAGGACCATTAATATTTAATTTTAAAGATATTAATGCAGATATGTTTGACATCTGTCCGACCATCGAGTATACTGTGACAGAACCCAAGGCTTTAATGAAACTAACCGTACAATATTCAGAGGGTAGCGCTTCACCCGACACACCGGTCGACACATCCACTTATATCGATGAAGTGCTTAAGAAAACACCGGAAAAGGGAAATGCGTTTACGTTTTGTGTCAGCGATTTACGTAATAAACCACAGAAAACATTTTCTGTCGTAATAACGGCTGAGGCGACCGCAACAAAACCTGAAGATCAAATATACGATGCCACTACTTTGACTATCACTAAATTTTCAGCAACTAAAATTCCCATAAATCGACCTAATTTTATACAAAACGTTGACATTAAGCACAAACAGTACTGGACTGAACAGAAATGGCACACAATGTCTGTCGAGAATAATTTTATTCCATCAAAGGATAAGACTTCACACCAATTGAAAGGTTTGTTTGATTTTTACTAATAAATTAGTGTTAAATTACGTTTATATTAAAATATAATTTTTCATATATTTTATTTCTTATTTACAGTTATGGTTAAAGCCAAAGCACAACCGATCGTATCATATTTTATTAGTGATTGGATTATAGTCAGTGATGTTAAAACGTTTAAACCAACTATCTCATTTAAACTTGGAGATATATACACTAATTTAAAAATTGAGCAAGGTGTAATAGCTGAGACAAATAAACAAATACCAACACAATTTGTCGAAATAGCTTACGATAAAAAGCTAAAAACATTCACAGACCAAGAAATCGCTGCTGACATCCCAAACACTGCACAACAGATCAAACTGTTTTTGAAATTCACGTTTACGGCCGACACTAATAAAGACACTAATTTTGATGTCACTATCAATTCTTTGTCGGTATTTAATCCGTGTCCATCTGATACTAAAAAGTGTTGTAACAACAAAGGAGCATGCACACTTACAGACGATGAACGGATTTATCAATGCGACTGCAAAGATGCCCAAGGTAGAAGTTGTGAAAAGTTATTGTGTAAAAATACTGTAAGTAATAAATTATAATGAATACTATTCAATAATAAACAAATTAATATTCATTAAATGATTTGTTTGTATTAATAGAAACTATGTAACTCATATCCAATTATTCCGGATTTTAATGCGAAAAATCCATTGGATAGACCTAATTGTGAAATTATTCACACAGAAACTCCACCAAAGGATACTGAAACATGTATTTGTCCACAAACACAATTCAAATCGATTACAGGCAAAGCCGGGTAAGTACCATGTTTACTCAGATGGCAAAATAAAATTTTATATCACAGTATAAAATAAATACAGTTAAATTATATTAAAATATAAATCATTAATATTATATAAAATTTTATTATAGATGTGAAAGTAAAAAAAATTACAAATATAATAACGAGAAGCCCTGTAAAAAGGATGGAAGCAATATAAAATGTGATATATTTACTGCAACCGATCAACAATGGTATGACACGTATCAGGTCAGCCATGCGGACAAATATTTCCCTTTATACTCACCGACAAAAGTGGCCGACGAGTTGTCCATTGAATTCAGTAATCTTAGGGCCGAAGAAGACGTCTGTTTTACACTTAACTACTATTCTTCGGGAACGTCGACAATAACTGTCACTTCGGCGGAACCGAAAAGTGTTGGACTCCTATTGAACTCTTTAGTAGACATTCCACAATGGAATCAACAATATATATGCGGTTCATATCTAACCCACGCATACACTGCGGCCAAAGCGGTTAAAATTAATATTAAAGGCAGTGATATTCACGCCGGTATAAACATAGGGCCAGTGCTGGCCATTCGCAACACTTTTATCGACGAACCGGTTCTTTCACATTATAACAACAAAGTCATTGAAACGGCGATAAAAACTGAGTGGCCGATAGTTATTGGACTTAAGGATAATTGGATATATGACGAGAAAAATAATGATAATGTTAAATTTGCGAGTAATACATTGAATTTATTTGAAGTTTTATAGCAATTTTTATAATTAATATTTGCTAAATTTATTTCTTAGTTAAAGCGACAGAAAAACCTTCAGAAACAAAATACACCACATATTTAATGAGTAAATGGATTGCAGCATCTGGTGAACACAGTTTATTAAGATTGCAACTTGATCCCAAGAAAGAAATGAAAGGCTTTACCATTGAGTTTGTTGTGTTTGACCAAAATATGCAAGAAGTGGCCGACCCTAACCGACTAGTTTACGGCGATAAAACATTCGATACGGTAATTATGTTTAGTAGACAATTGATATTAAATTATTCTTTTATAACAGAAGACAATAATTGATACAATTGATGGCGACGGTGCCATTGAAGTGCAATTACCAGCTAAAAATCAAAAAGTAATCCGTGTGGGTATGAAAGTGGTTTATAAGGAGGACAAAACAGCAAAGCCCCTGTTCACTGTGAGCAAGATTAGTGTCAACGATCCCTGTATTACTGTCGATAAATATAAGATAATCCCAAATCTATGTGGCGAATATTCGAGCGACAAATTGTGTTATCCATTAACAAAAGCTGTGTATAATTGCAAATGCCTACCACATGGTGATATTCAACCAGGTGATTGTACCACAAAACCACCATCATTGTCACAACCATATCGTTGGATATTTGATGCATTTTCTAAAATTTTAAATTAATATAAACATGTTAACTGAATGTAGTTCATAGTTAATCTGGATTAATTGAACCGGATGTCAATTTTATAATTACAATAAATCACATGTTAATGAAAAATTTAGTTTATTTATTAATTAATCATGAATTTAATTATTAAAATTAACCATGAGTTAACATACAAATCAACTTCAATATTTTTATAATTACATTTAACTCATTCCCATTACAATAGACTTGTATAATGAAATAATCATGTTTTACAGGTTAATTAATTCTGATTGACACTGTAGTAATTTAAAATTGTAATTATTAATTAAAAATTTCAAATATAAATCAAAAATTAGACATTTTTACTCAAACCTCCCTTGGATGAACCCGCCATATAATAAACACTTTTGTCGTGCAACTGGCCGTTCATTATAGAGAACGTTGCACTGTATTATCAATGATAATATTATTTATACAATTGTTCATATATAAATCATTAATAAGTTTTAAAAACAATATTTGTTCCGTTTGTATTAATATAGTTTAATTCAATTAATGAATAAATACAATATGTTTTACGTAAAGAGATATAATTTAAAAATATTTTTATAAATTTAGAATAAATATTAAAACAATAATATTATATAAGTTGAGTTAAGCAGATTAGTTTTTTGTTGGTTGGACATTATTTTCCTGATCATTTTTGTCTGGGAAATTACCTTTAGTCAGCAAATTACAGACCACAGTTATCTGATCCGATTGACCAGGGCACTTTGCGCATCCTATATTGGTGGAATGTTTTTATACCAATGTTGTAAAGTGTCCAACTGTACCATCGGTAGCGTTGCCAAACATACAGGAATTTCCTGTATTATACAGGAATTACAGAATTTCTGCAGAATACAGGAAGGGGTAATTCCTGTACATTGAAAAATACAGGAATAAATATTTCTAGAATAAGTTATAAATTTAGTAGTTTTTATCCACTCTTCATATACTGTCTTGGCTGTCGCTGAAATTTATATTTCATTATTAACTTTATAATACTTTTATGTTATTTTTGATTTATTGAACGTTTCAAAACAACGTTTAATTTTTGTTTTTAATGACTGGGTTTAGTTTAATGTGAGATTTTAGCTGACACAATGTATTAATTAATAAAATCTTATATTATTGTATTAATAATGAGTCCGTTGTAAATAAAACCTCATTAAACATAAATTTCACTAAAAGATATGTAAAAAAAATTGTGATACAGGAAAATACAGGAAATTTTTCACATTTATACAGGATTTTCAAAATATCATTTGGCAACGCTAACCATGGGTATTCTGCCATATTATTCATGTAATATACTATACAGTATGACAGTTGAACAGGAAGTGAATTTCCTTTATTTTCTGGTTTAGATTTGGCCACATTCTGGTCGTAGGGATTGATAATTAATGTCGTCTCGTTTTAGGTATTTTGTTTAGCATTATCAATTATCTAGGTTGATTTCTATTAAAATTATTACATTTATAATTGATGTATGTTGTTATTATTACCTAGGCTGTGATCTCAACGGTTTTTTGCGGAAAAATACACTCAAAAAACTAATTTTGCAATTAAACAAAAAAACAAATTAAAAACAACATATTTTAATATTTGAATAAATCGATTCTTTACTATAATTTCAAAACAAGACAATTTTAATCAAAAAGTTTAAATGACAGAATACAGTTATTGATAAACATAGATTACAATGCAATAATATATAATAATAATAC